TTAAATATGAGCACTGCAAGTTGCACAATCAGGCGCTGCGCTGCTTTGTTTACTGCGGTTACCGGGGAAATGGCTATATTCCTGGCGAAAAGCGAAAGAATGAAGAGAGAATGAATTTGCATTTTTCAATAAGCCCTTCTGCTTTTTGTTTTAGTCCAAAGCCAAAAACGACCCTTATTTTTACGCAGAAAACACGCAGTTTGATATACACGTAGTTTAAATAATTGTTTGATAATAATTGTTTAAATTAATATACTACTATAATAATTTATACTTTTGATCCCTCCCGATGGGTGTGATTTTGCTTTTTTACAACAGTTCATTAACAAGAAGTTAATATTGAGTAACTTACATTTTTAACAGGATGATAGTTCGTCGGTTTTCCAAACGAAAATAGTTCCAAAGGAAGCCAAAGTTCGGATTCGGTGATCGTCTCCTAGCAACAAACTGTGATTTGAATCTTTACTTGAACAAATCGGTTGAGTGAATGATTAATACCAAAGCACAAATCTAATTTATTAAACTTATTTAGAGGAAAACAATCACACCAAAAAGTATAGGAATAAAAACAAGTCATGACAATGTAAATATATATATATTTATATTTTTTCATAATTTTATTTTCAAATTTGAATAAGGGGAGTAAACGGCACTGTTTGTTTAAAAAGGTTCCATTATTTCTTTGTTAAATGTAAGAATGGCCTGGCTCACAAAATGAACCCAATACAGCACACTGTTTTCTGATATTACAGATTTATTTTTTCTTTCTTTCTTTTTTTTTTTTTAAATTGAGTTTAGGAACACAGAGCTATGCTCTGGTAGCCCCTGATGGAGCATTAAAATTGGATAAAACCTAACAATGGTGAGAGTTTAAACCTATTTATTGATTTAATTAAATAGTTTGCTATTTTTCCTCCATATTAATGTGTACTGACCAGATAAATTTCATGAGCCAAACACAAGTGCTTTGCAAAGAACATCACACGTACAAAGATTAAATGATAGCAATAGAACACTGATAGACATTCAGAACTTCTAGTGCGTACATCAGAACTACAGAACATTTAACATGGTTCACCACCTCCTTTTCCACTGGGCGCTTTTAATATTTCAAAAACAAATTCAACAGGATTTTGCCATTTTCTCCCATCTTTTCTCAAAGCTCTTTGGGTTAAAACGCCAGCTGACATGGAGTTGCATCGAGCACCACAGACAATTCAGAGGTACATACTGTAGAGGGCAACCATTTTGTATCGTCCTGTTTGTGTGTGTGTGTGTGTGTGTGTAAATGCAGAAGAATGTGTGTTTTTGAAGAGGTCACTATCACAAGATCAAGTGAGGAAGAGAAAGGAGGGGCGAGATTGATGTGGGTTTATTATTATTCTGAACCAACCTGAGGAAGCTGTAGTATTTCTGTTACCTTAGGGCTGACATAATATAAATCAGTGCAGAAAACAGAAAAACAACCCCTTGTACTCTAAAACATCATCACGCGTCAACAACTGACATCTGATGCCGGTGCAAGAGGATGCGCTATGCATCGGAAGGTCATTTTCGACCCGGCCTGAATTTGTATAGGTGTCCTATACTTTTTAAGCAAGATTTGTTTAAAAAAAAAAAAATTTATTACCTTCAAGTACCCCAAAACATAAGCAGGAGTCTGTAGCAAACATCAAAGACCTCTCTTACTCAGGCAAAAACCTTAAAGTAACCACTTCCTAATCCAACTGCATTGTGGGGAGAAAGTTCAACTGGTCCTCCAGTGTGTCACAGTTTGTTTAACTCCTTCATTTGAGGTTACAATATGGAGTAAGCTTGATTTTCTGTTCCCTTTCTTAGCAAAAGGTGTATAACAGCTGTTTTATACACCAACTATAGTCTATCTGCATAAATTCTCTGTTCTGACCTTGCCGTAGAAAAATAAGAACATCTAATTCTCAATATATTCCTCTTTATAATGTTCTTTAAATGTTACTATAAAGCTAAGTGACAGTTTTACATTCAATCAATAATCTCGCCTTGCTCATTCTAGCCGTGCCGTCATAAAATTTCTGTGGTATTGAAATGTACAGCCATCCATCACTTTTACACGACCACAGAAACCAACACATTAATGACCGTCATAGACCGTAGGACAGTCTCGAAGGGTAGAAGAACAATAGGATGAGTTAGATTACATGATCATACTGCATTATCATAGATCACATGAGTTATTCTGCTATTGAGTGGATACTGCAACATGAACTGTGATTGGACCAGCACTCCGGGTGGTTGAATTTAACATCCCGCACAAACCAAACATTCACTTTCATATATAGTGAGGTCTGATATGGAAAATATTGGAATGAACTACACCGGTCTACCTGAAGAGGCAATATTGCTCATTAGTGCGCTTACTTCTGAAGATTAGAATAATAATTAAAACAATTAATAACACGATCTTGTCCAACAAGACCAATACAAAAAAATACAAAAACTGTCATCCATAAGTGCTACCTGTTGATAAAAGTGACTTTTATAATAAAAGAAAAATAGTGTTTAAGATTTCTTCATAAGGATAAAAGGGTTCCATCCATCATATAGAGGAAAACATAATTATTACTTTTGAACATTCATGATGGTTAACTACTAACAACGTCCCATTGAGCAACTTTGGGGAAGCTTTAATTCTAGCAATTACTGTCTTGTCAAGCATAAATATAAATCTCAAGATCCTGAAGACACAGTTAAACAGTTTAAATATCAAATTAATCAACTACAGTCTGGCTTATTTTAATTGTAACACTACAGAGGCCAATAAACAGAATCAGATTGTCAACATTAGGGTTGTTTTCTGTGCTTTGGACAACGTGCTTGAAGTTGCAAGTGACTATGTCAGAGTTACAGAGGTACTAGTGAACCGATACATTCCTGCTTTTCCAGAGCTGAGTGGAAGGAGGTTGCAAAGTCAAGTTGCTATCATTGAAATGTCATCATTTGTCAACGAGCGGAGACCCAAGAAAGGCAAGTGACAGTATTCCTGCATTAAAGCTGTGCAAATATGTGATAATTTACTATCTCTAGACGATAAACAGATTTGGTTGTGTAAAATATTTCTGGTTACTCAAACCTATTTAGTGAATAACACTGTATAACAGTGTAAACAACCATGTAAACCATTGTAAAACTAGAGGAAGCTATGGCTTAGCCTGAAGCTAATTTACCTGTATCCTATGCGATTATATTTTTCCTCATCATAACCTTGCTGTTTTAAGCATCAGTTCCAGTTTGGCAGAGTATGTAGCTATCATCGGTACATAATAGCAAATGTTGCGAGGCCGCTGCCAGCCGTAAGTGCCGTTTCCTACTTCTTCTTCTTTTCCGCCTAATCGCATGATATACTAAATATGAAGCCTTCTCTTTAAACTATTTACAAATGTAAAACATCTCTCTGAAATATATCTATATGTTTGCAATTACTAAGGTGTATAACACGATGCAAAACATCTAAAGATTGCCTGTTCCTTTAACAGTGTTACTAAAACACGAAGGCCGTTTTAAACCAACTGTGACACTATCTGTGGATTCAGCATTGGCAGACACACACACATACGAACACATGTGCGCAAGCACATACACACACTTACCCCCATCCCACTGGAAAAAGGAAGTCTGTGAAGAGATCAGCCATTATGTGTATTAAGTTTTGCTTTTTTCCTCTGAATATTAGAAAAAAAAAGTATATTCAAAGCTACAAATAACAGACTACGCTTTTCGTCTCATGCATCATATAAAATATTCGTTTCTCTTTCCTTTTGTCCCTATATTTACACATTATTTTACAGGTGAACTGTACAATAAAAGTTGAATCCACGTGATAATCTTAAAAATATTTTCTGACCCATAATTACTTGCGACAAGTAAAATGAGGAGGAAAGAGGAAGAGAAAGAGAGGCCAAGAGAAAGACGCCGTTTGTCCTGCGGGACTTCTTTAAGTATTGAAGCCGTCGCTGTGGCTCGTTCTGCATAAATTAAACCTGTGAAAGAGGGATGACGGCACACACTGGGCATACGAGACAAAGGGGATGCGGTTATTGTTGTGGAGACAGTTTGCGGAAAACCAGACGTTGCCGTTTCCTCGCTAGCCAGTAGAAAGTTGGGCTTTCGTGGTCAGACCTCTCCCAGAATTCAGTGCAAGCAGCCGTTGATCAACTACCTATAGGTCGGAGAGGGCATGGGGTGAAAAAACAACACCCGTTTAGGTCTGGCCCTTCACCTATAAGCAGTGGAAGGGTATCTGAGAGGGTACAGTACAAAATACTGCTATTTTTTTTAGCTCCAAACATCCCCCTCAGAAGCCCCTCAGCCTGCAGGACTGCTCAGTGGAGATTGGGTTGTGTCCTTGACGTGCGGTCAGCTACTGAGGTGGTGCTTTGGACCGGTCCGTCATGCTGTCTGAGCGATGAGCTGCCAGTTGCTGCTGCAGTTGCTGCTGCAGCTGCTGCTGCTGTTGTTGATGTTGATGTTGCAGCTGTTGTTGTTGCTGTTGATGCTGCTGCTGCAGCTGTTGTTGCTGCTGTTGCTGCTGCTGCTGCAGTTGTTGCTGCTGCTGTTGCAGTTGCTGCTGTTGTTGTTGTGTTGCGGCTGCAAAGGTGCCTTGCTGCTGCAGGGGAAACGCTGCTTGAAGGATCAGCTGGGCAGATTGGTTGCCATGTAAAAGCCGAGGGGCCTGCGGGAGGAAGCACGAAACGCTATTATATATGGCAGGGATGTAGTGATATTGAATTCCTGGTTGATACCAATAAGACAATAATTAGTTTCATGTTATGGCCTATAATCAACATGACCAATATTATACGGTCATCTGAAAAAGTTAGGACACCCTATTGAATTCCATGGTTTTCCATATCTGGACATTCTAAAAAATATCTACAACAAAATAGAAGACTGCAATAACAACAGACAACCACATCGCCAAGCGCTTGTGAGCGAGAGGGTATGAGATAGCCCAGCTTTGGTTTAAAAGAGTTCAAAAATATTTGTTATTGGTCATAACTTATGGGGAAATATAGAGCAGACACTGGACATGGATGAAGCTTTCTGGAGCGCATGTGTTGACCGCCCGCGTTCACGTACAACATCAAATGGAGTATACACTGAAAGGCTACACGTTCGACTGTATACGCTAGCATACGTGTGCAAAAAGGAAGTATACTTTGGATAGACTTCTTGCAAAAACATTAAACTCTTAACCCCAAAACAATAACTTTTGAATGGTAGTGTATATTTAATATATTTTCCAAAATGTTTAACATTTAATAAACCTATCATGTGATTTTAATACTTTATAATTTTAAAATAACTGAAAATATACATTGTAAATATCAGCTACATAGATAATTTTTTTTCTTCAAATAAAGAAACAGCAGTCAAAAATTTCAAGCATTTTGAAAATGACATTTTAAACATTTTTGGAATAAATTGCCCTTCTTTCATTCAACTTCTAAGCTTCAAATCAAGATGCACTATAAAAGCATTCCATAGAACTTCTATGCTGTATTCCAGATCTTCTAATAGCATTGCATGTGGAAGACACAGAGGTTTAGGTCATTATTCACAAAAAATCGTCACAGCCACCCTATCCATCCATTTTCTATTCAAGTCGGTATGAAACAGAAATTGTGAGAATCGTGTGGTACCTGTAGGAATTGCGTTTGGTGCTGGGCAAGCTGAGCCTGGGCCTGTCCTTGCTGTTGGGCTGTTCCTGTAGCTGTCTGTGACTGCGTTTGTGCCTGCTGCTCCGGCGTCTGCGCAGACGGCTGCTGGGTGATGCTGATTGTTTGAGCCTGGCCCTGCTGTGGGGCAAACGCAGTCACCACCTGCCCCATGAACATGGTGGTAGGCACCATAACTGCACCACACGCCATTGGGCCGGTTACTAGCTTAGTGAGGAGCTGTGGGGCAGCAGGGAACCTGTGGGAGGCAGGACGGCAGGTTATTAGTTAGCTTTGTTATGAGTTTCTGTTGGGACCAGTTGTACCGTGACATGGTCAGGAGTCCAGAGGCATTTTTGAAATTTGTTTTATTGTTCATTCATAAATAACCAATAGGTTTCCATAGCTATAGGAGCTATATATACAAAAAGGAAATGGAGGAGAGATTAGATTAATGATAATTTTTTGAGCTAGTCTAGTATTCTAATGTGCTTATTAAACTGTGTACATGCCCTTCATGTTTCAAAGTCTCAATGTGTGTTTGTAACAGCTGCACATGTACCGTATCTGTCGGTCTTGTGCGAAGTTGGCGACCGCAGCTCCGCTGGGGCTGCTGTTCTGGGCCAAGCTTGTGGAGATCTGGACAACGTTGGCCTGCGCCGGCTGAGAGATCATCATGGTATTATACAAAGATGCAGGCAGTGCTCCCTGAGGAGACTGCAATGTGTGGGATGACCTCTGAGACTGCTAAAAACAGACAGAGATAGAAAGAACTGATGTTAGACTATGTTATTTTATTTACGTTTATATTAGTGCTGTGCAACAATTAATCACGATAAATCGCATCCAAAATAAAAGTTTTTGTTTATATAATATATGTGTGTGTACTGTGTATATTTATTATGTATATATAAAAGACACACACATACAGTATACATTTAAAAAATATTAACATGCATTTACATACATTTATATTCATATAATTTATATTATATATAAATATATTTAATATAACATATTTTTCTTAAATATATACATGCATGTGTGTGTATTTATATATACTAGGGCTGTCAGTCAGAACAACATTTTTAATCGAATTAATTACATAATGCTTCTATTAATTAATCTAATTAATCGCAAAATATATTTGACTGTGAAATTACCCACAAAAGATTATTTACAGCTATTTTTGTTAAATGAGAAAGTATCAATTACAAATTGTAGCTTTAGAAAGAAATATTTAATTTGATTCAACATAAAATGAATTACACAAGCATTTAGGCTATAACGGCCTAACGTAAACTATGGAACATAAAAGAAGATAATTTGAGGAACATCTCAGTATTTTTTGATCATACAATGAAAGTCATTGGTAACTAAAACAGCTTTGTTACGAAGAGTCTTCAAAATACTTTCTTTTATGTTCCACAAATGAAAGTTCTGAAACGACATGAGGGTGAGTAAATGATGACAGAATTTTTTGGGTGAACTATCCCTTTAAAGTTTTTATTTATTAAATTTTTTTTTTAATGAAATTATACTCTAAATAAGAAACTAAATCTGCCAGCAGGTGGTGGTAGATGCCTTTATGATTTGTTCAAACGGCTGATTCATTCAGGAAAGAAGTAAACGGCTCTCTCTTTATGAATGGGTCTTTGAATCATTGATTCACCCGATTCGTCCAAAACGCAGATTCGTTCTGAAACAAGGTCTGCATCCGAAAACTGAAAAATGCTGCCTTCGGAGGACGCATTCCAAGGTAGGAAGGCATCAAGGCACGTCCGAATTCAATGTTAGCTTCAGTTCCTGTCTCCTGAGATGCCTTCATCTGGCCGATTTTTGAAGGCAGCATAGATGTATCCTTCGCTGCCTTTGATATCCCACAATCCTGTGCGTTCCTTTCTGTGACAGTTAAGCTAAAAAATAAAGATGCCGTCTGAAAGTTGTGGTCGGTGGTCAGTTTGTGTGTAAATGTACGTTTTCCACTTTTGATGTCATTTCTAGCGAGAAATTAATATTGCAGTAATGAAATATTCACTTAGTTATCACCAAAGCTCTCTATATTTAGCTGTAGATCATTAAACCGTTACTCTGCCTCAGAAGCCTGTCCGAAATCAGTTTTATGAGGTGCCTTCGTGCAAAAACGCTGCCTGAAAAGTCATTGCCTCATACGGCAGCGAGGCAGCAAGTCAGCTGCCTAAGTTTTCGGATGCAGCCTAAACAATGCTGTGTTACTCTGAGACGCACAATTCTGCTATGGCTTTAAAGGTAATATATTCTATGCAAAATTGAGAAAAAACATATATTGTGTTTAAAGTCCCCGTGGTGAAAATCAAGTTTTTTATGTTGTTTATTTGTCTATGTGGTGTTTTTAATATGCTTTTAGACAAACCATGTGCCAATCCATTTATCAACACCATTGCAGAGTATTTTCTCCTTAAAACTGTAGTTTCCCAAAGGCAGTCACAGAAACGCGGTTTGAAACAGACTTTTTTTTGTTTTACGTCACAAAATTCAATAACCAATCGTGTCAAGGGATCCTATCCTTAGCATATCATTAACTGTGCTGCAAAGCAGAGGGTCTAGTGAGAAGGCAGCCAGGTTAATCGGGTAACAGTTATTTTTTTCTGTAGATGTTTCACTAACTGTTAATATTTCCACCTATTTTCACGATGTCATGTGCTGTTAGCGCTTATTTATTTGTATTTAGAACCGCTAACTTGAATAATAACCCGCGGCAGCAGTGTAAAAGTAGTCCGGAGTCAGACGCACCTCTCCCGCATTGACACCCGCACGTCACACGCGTTTCATGAGTTGGTGGATCAGGAGGCGCTGGCTCATGGCTGGCTGCTGTGTGACTGAGTGGAAGCGGGGCTAATTTGCGTATTCATAGATCTGCGTATAGTAAATGAGGCAAGGGTGTAGAGTTGCATTCAAGCTATTTTAAAGACATGAGAAAATAATTTTCACAAGAAAAAAACATTTAAATATGTCATTTTGATTATCAAAGATGAGTTTTAAAGGATAACATTTTTGACTACAGGGGGACTTTAAAATATAACAATATCAACTTCTTATTTACGGAACTGTTGTACAAATTCACATTTAAACTTGTGATATTCGGGACAAACAGCACTTGTCTGATAACTACTGCTCTCGCTGCTTGTACCTGCATTTTTGGAGTTGTTGCCCTGAATCATATTTGTCAACAGTCAACTATATGAAATGTAAGATTATGTACAGGTCTGGGGGCGGGCCAGTGCATTAACTGCGTTAAAATATTTTAATCGCGTTTATTTTCATAATTAAGTTAACAAACTGACAGCCCTAATATATACATAATAAATATACGCAGTACACACACATAAATTATGTACACAAAAACTTTTATTTTGGATGCCCAGCACTAGTTTATATACAGTGCTGCTTGAAAGTTTGTGAACCCTTTAGAATTTTCTATATTTCTGCATAAATATTAGATTTTCATTTAGAATTTATTAGAAATTAGATTTTCGCACAAATCCTGAAAGTAGACAAAGAGAATCCAGTCAAACAAAGGAGACAAAAATATATACTTTGCCATTTATTTATTGAGAAAAATGATCCGGTGTTAAATATTTGTGAGTGGCAAAAGTATGTGAATCTTTGTTTTCAGTATCTGGTGTGACCCCCTTTTGCAGCAATAACTGCAAGTAACGTTTCTTGTAACTGCTGATCAGTCCTGCACAACGGCTAGTAGGAATGTTAGCCCATTCCTCAGTACAGAACCACTTTAACTCTGATGTTGGTGGGTTTCCTCCTATGAACTGCTTGCATTCAGGTCCTTCCACAAAATTTCAATTGGATTAAGGTCCAGAATTTGACTCAGTCATTCCAAAACATTAACTTTGTTCTTCTTTAATCATTCTTTGGAAGAACGACTTGTGTGCTTGGGGTCATTGTCTTACTGCATGACCCACTTTCTCTTGAGATTCAGTTCTCGGACAGATGTCCTGACATTTTCCTTCAGAATTTGCTGGTATAATTCAGAATTCATTGTTCCATCAATGATGGTAAACGGCTCTCTCTTTATGAATGGGTCTTTGAATCATTGATTCACCCGATTCGTCCAAAACGCAGATTCGTTCTGAAACAAGGTCTGCATCCGAAAACTGAAAAATGCTGCCTTCGGAGGACGCATTCCAAGGTAGGAAGGCATCAAGGCACGTCCGAATTCAATGTTAGCTTCAGTTCCTGTCTCCTGAGATGCCTTCATCTGGCCGATTTTTGAAGGCAGCATAGATGTATCCTTCGCTGCCTTTGATATCCCACAATCCTGTGCGTTCCTTTCTGTGACAGTTAAGCTAAAAAATAAAGATGCCGTCTGAAAGTTGTGGTCGGTGGTCAGTTTGTGTGTAAATGTACGTTTTCCACTTTTGATGTCATTTCTAGCGAGAAATTAATATTGCAGTAATGAAATATTCACTTAGTTATCACCAAAGCTCTCTATATTTAGCTGTAGATCATTAAACCGTTACTCTGCCTCAGAAGCCTGTCCGAAATCAGTTTTATGAGGTGCCTTCGTGCAAAAACGCTGCCTGAAAAGTCATTGCCTCATACGGCAGCGAGGCAGCAAGTCAGCTGCCTAAGTTTTCGGATGCAGCCTAAACAATGCTGTGTTACTCTGAGACGCACAATTCTGCTATGGCTTTAAAGGTAATATATTCTATGCAAAATTGAGAAAAAACATATATTGTGTTTAAAGTCCCCGTGGTGAAAATCAAGTTTTTTATGTTGTTTATTTGTCTATGTGGTGTTTTTAATATGCTTTTAGACAAACCATGTGCCAATCCATTTATCAACACCATTGCAGAGTATTTTCTCCTTAAAACTGTAGTTTCCCAAAGGCAGTCACAGAAACGCGGTTTGAAACAGACTTTTTTTTGTTTTACGTCACAAAATTCAATAACCAATCGTGTCAAGGGATCCTATCCTTAGCATATCATTAACTGTGCTGCAAAGCAGAGGGTCTAGTGAGAAGGCAGCCAGGTTAATCGGGTAACAGTTATTTTTTTCTGTAGATGTTTCACTAACTGTTAATATTTCCACCTATTTTCACGATGTCATGTGCTGTTAGCGCTTATTTATTTGTATTTAGAACCGCTAACTTGAATAATAACCCGCGGCAGCAGTGTAAAAGTAGTCCGGAGTCAGACGCACCTCTCCCGCATTGACACCCGCACGTCACACGCGTTTCATGAGTTGGTGGATCAGGAGGCGCTGGCTCATGGCTGGCTGCTGTGTGACTGAGTGGAAGCGGGGCTAATTTGCGTATTCATAGATCTGCGTATAGTAAATGAGGCAAGGGTGTAGAGTTGCATTCAAGCTATTTTAAAGACATGAGAAAATAATTTTCACAAGAAAAAAACATTTAAATATGTCATTTTGATTATCAAAGATGAGTTTTAAAGGATAACATTTTTGACTACAGGGGGACTTTAAAATATAACAATATCAACTTCTTATTTACGGAACTGTTGTACAAATTCACATTTAAACTTGTGATATTCGGGACAAACAGCACTTGTCTGATAACTACTGCTCTCGCTGCTTGTACCTGCATTTTTGGAGTTGTTGCCCTGAATCATATTTGTCAACAGTCAACTATATGAAATGTAAGATTATGTACAGGTCTGGGGGCGGGCCAGTGCATTAACTGCGTTAAAATATTTTAATCGCGTTTATTTTCATAATTAAGTTAACAAACTGACAGCCCTAATATATACATAATAAATATACGCAGTACACACACATAAATTATGTACACAAAAACTTTTATTTTGGATGCCCAGCACTAGTTTATATACAGTGCTGCTTGAAAGTTTGTGAACCCTTTAGAATTTTCTATATTTCTGCATAAATATTAGATTTTCATTTAGAATTTATTAGAAATTAGATTTTCGCACAAATCCTGAAAGTAGACAAAGAGAATCCAGTCAAACAAAGGAGACAAAAATATATACTTTGCCATTTATTTATTGAGAAAAATGATCCGGTGTTAAATATTTGTGAGTGGCAAAAGTATGTGAATCTTTGTTTTCAGTATCTGGTGTGACCCCCTTTTGCAGCAATAACTGCAAGTAACGTTTCTTGTAACTGCTGATCAGTCCTGCACAACGGCTAGTAGGAATGTTAGCCCATTCCTCAGTACAGAACCACTTTAACTCTGATGTTGGTGGGTTTCCTCCTATGAACTGCTTGCATTCAGGTCCTTCCACAAAATTTCAATTGGATTAAGGTCCAGAATTTGACTCAGTCATTCCAAAACATTAACTTTGTTCTTCTTTAATCATTCTTTGGAAGAACGACTTGTGTGCTTGGGGTCATTGTCTTACTGCATGACCCACTTTCTCTTGAGATTCAGTTCTCGGACAGATGTCCTGACATTTTCCTTCAGAATTTGCTGGTATAATTCAGAATTCATTGTTCCATCAATGATGTCAAGCCAGCCTGGACCAGATGCAGCAAAACAGGCCCAAACCATGATACTACCACCACCATGTTTCACAGATGGGATGAGGTTCTTATGCTGGAATGCAGTGTTTTCTTTCTCCAAACATAACGCTGCTCATTTAAACCAAAATGTTCTATTTTGGTCTCATCTGTCCACAAAACATCTCTCCAGTATTCCTCTGGCTTGTCCACATGATCTTTAGCAAACTGCAGATGGGCAGCAATGTTCTTTTTGGAGAGCAGTGGCTTTCTTCTTGCGACTCTGCCATGCACACCATGGTTGTTCAGTGTTCTCCTGATGATGGGCTCATAAACATTAGCCAATGTGAGAAAGGCCTTTAGTTGCTTAGAAGTTAGCCTGCAGTCCTTTGAAACCTAGTGGACTTTTACACGTCTTGCTTTTAGAGTGTTCTTTGTTGTTGGAGCTGAGGTTAACAGTGGTCTTGAATTTCCTCCATTTGTACACAATCTGTCTGACTGATTGGTGGAGTCCAAACTCTTTAGAGATGGCTTGCTTTGAAATCTTTTCTAGCCTGATGAGCAACAACAACCTGGTCTGAGGTCCTCAGAGATCTCATTTGTTTGTGCCATGATACACTTCCACAAACATGACCAAACTTTGATAGATCCCTGTTCTTTAGATAAAACAGGGCACACACTGACACCTGATCTCAGTGATTAAAAACACCTCTGAACAGATGGACTCTAATTTCGCCTTCAAATTAACTGCCAATCCTAGAGAGTCACATACGTTTGCCGCTCAAAGATATGTAATATTGGATCATTTTTCCTGAATAAATAAATGACAAAGTATATATTTTCATCTCATTTGTTTGATTGTGTTGTCTTTGTCAACTTTCAGGACTTGCATGAAAATCAGATGTTTTTTTGGGTTATATTTATGCAGAAATATAGACAATTCTAAAGGGTCCACAAACTTTCAAGCAGCACTGTATATATATAAATATATATATATATACAGTGTGTATATATATATATATATATATACTGATGAGCAACAACAACCTGGTCTGAGGTCCTCAGAGATCTCATTTGTTTGTGCCATGATACACTTCCACAAACATGACCAAACTTTGATAGATCCCTGTTCTTTAGATAAAACAGGGCACACACTGACACCTGATCTCAGTGATTAAAAACACCTCTGAACAGATGGACTCTAATTTCGCCTTCAAATTAACTGCCAATCCTAGAGAGTCACATACGTTTGCCGCTCAAAGATATGTAATATTGGATCATTTTTCCTGAATAAATAAATGACAAAGTATATATTTTCATCTCATTTGTTTGATTGTGTTGTCTTTGTCAACTTTCAGGACTTGCATGAAAATCAGATGTTTTTTTGGGTTATATTTATGCAGAAATATAGACAATTCTAAAGGGTCCACAAACTTTCAAGCAGCACTGTATATATATAAATATATATATATATACAGTGTGTATATATATATATATATATATACATAATATAATAATATGGTATTTATATACTTTCACATTTAATAGAAGGATGGTTTATCTTTTTTTGTATATGAATGTACCACAGATGTTTTTTACAGACCAGTTTTTGGATTAATAAGGCTGAATATTCAGCAAAAATGCACATTTTCACTCCTCTAAACAGTAATGTAGAAGTGTTATTTTGGTATTATTTATATACTATTATAGTTTTTATTAATACTTTACTTTTTGATTTCGTTTTTTATTAGCTTTATTAGATTTCATGATTTTTATACTTTACTGTTTAGGTTTTATTACTTTTACTTATTTAGGATTAGAGTAACTTATTTCAGTTAGTTGTCAAGGCAATATTTTTAAATACCATTTCATTTTCAGTCAATTTTTCATAAAATATTTATATTTTATATCTTTTTTTTTATATAAAATATTTTTGTTTTAGTTAATGACAATAATCTTTTAATGCAGCACTATAATCAGATGGGATTTCTTGTCATTAAGTAATATGAGGGAATAAACGTGATTTTTTTATAAAATTAAATTACATATTTATTTTAAATAAACTGAACATAAAATTTAATAGAAACTTATTCAGTTCTATAAATAAATTAGAATTCCTAGTAGACTTTATTGCTACGTCTGTTGCTGTTTTTCAAAATGTGTTCATAGCTCACGGTCTCACCTGAGTTAGAGTGGAGCTCTGATCTCTGAGAAGGTTCTGTTGTTGTGGCGGTGCCTGCTGAGTGACAGTGTGTTGTGTCGCTGTGTGTGTGGATTGCAGGCCACTTTGCAGGCTCCCTGCCGGCACCACCGCCCCCTGCATGGACAGAGCACCCCCTGGCTGCACGGATGATCCCTGCGTCAGCTGCACTGAGCCGAGGTTGAGACCACCACCTCCAGGCTGCAAGAACATCTACATAGCCAAACAAAAGTGTGTCAATTTGAGGCAGGGAGTGCATCTTTAATCAAAAGGCTAGGGGGCGCTCTCACCTGTAAACCCTGGCCTTGCACCCTCTGCAGCTCATCCTGGATTTGCCGCAGCTCGTCTTGTTGTCTCTGGATGTTGGCCTCAATCATGCGTGTGCGCTGTTCTAGTTGCTCCTTAAGATGTTGCATCGCATCAATCTGCGTGGAAAACTGCAGCACCGGCTACAAAACAATGAACAGCACCAGGTAAAATACTTTCAGGAGGCCTCAGGGGTTAAAGTTACCAGAACAATACAGGTCTTCAGATGGAAAATGATTCTGCAAAATGCTCTTCAAGGTCACATGATTCTTTACAGCAGCATTTTATATAAATATATTTTAAAATGTAATGATAATAGATAGGTAAGATGTAAACTGGATGTAGACTGTAGAACAGGGTTCCTCAAATCTTGCCCTGGAGGGCCAATGCGCTGCAGAGTTTAGCTTCAACCCTGATCAAACTCACCTACCTGTGATTTTCTAATGATCCTGAAGACATTGATTAGCATGCTCAGGTGTTTCATTAGGGTTAGAGCTAAACTCTGCAGGAAAGTGGATCTTGTGGGCCAGATTTGAGGATCCCTACTGTACAATATCTAATATTCAGATTCTTAAATATTTGAATAAACCAAAAATATGATTTTAATACGTGTAATGATCATATTATCATTAAATAAAACTGTTAACTGTGAAAATCAGATTTTCTGATAAACTGTTAACTGAGAAAATCTCACAGTTAATTTTAAAACTGTTAACTGTGAAAATCTGGGCCTGTTAGAGAAATGATATCTATTAAAGGGATAGTTCACCCAAAAATGAAAATTCTGTCATTAATTACTTAGCCTCGGATTTAATCAAAAATATCTTAATTTGTGTTCCGAAGATGAACGAAGGTCTTAGGGGTTTGGAACAATATGAGGGTGAGTAATTAATGACAGAATTTTCATTTTTGGGTGAA